CTGATCATGAGCACCCTGTGTTTGTTACTCTGAAGTGTGACACATAGACAAATAATAAGAAGGGCCAGCTTCTCATAGCATTCTCTTCATGATATTCCACTCTATCAGTGGGGCCTGGTGGACTTACCTTGCTGTATTTTCCCATGTGGTCACAAATTAACTCTGCAATATGTCCCACGGAATTGAATGCCGCTCAGAACTTTGGCATTAAATCTGTATCCCACAAAGCTGAGCCACATTTTCAAAATCAGTCTCTCAATATTAATCAGCCCTGAGGAACTTCAGAAAGGCAAGTGGGGGGCAGAAGGAAAAATCAAATTGAAAAGACCCTGAATAGCATAGGAGGGTAGAGAGCGAGAGAAGCAACTAAACATAACAGCATATGTGTACACTGTGTTAGGAGAACAGGAAGCTGGAATGACAGAAAGTTGTATTTAGTTACGTGCATGGAATCCTAGCCCTTCCATTGGTTCTATTTTGATGAAGGCTTACAGCTAGGTTTCAGGTTGTTCCTATTTTAAGCCCAACTGGTTTGGCTGCTCCTAATAAGTGGGTGATTGTTCTCACTTCCTCACATTGTGCCAGTTAGACAAGTTCATAAAGTTGCTCAACCCTTCCTAGAAGATTGCCTTCAAAGTCATTTCCAGGCCAAACTGACCTTTGACCTTGAGAGGCATTTCCTCTGTGTCCAGCACACCAACTGCGTGCACATGATCCTCCTATACTACAGGGACTATCTACTGTATAACTCACTCTTATAGATCATTTTTCAGTAATGCAGATTGCAGGCTTGGGAGACTTGAGCTCCTTCAGAACCTAGTGGAAGGGCAAGAACTAAATCTCACATCCCCAAGATACCAGTCTGGATCATGTTTTTGTACTTAATTTTGAGCACTGAACTAAGCAGTAGTTGCTTATAATGTTAAAGAGGATCCTCTAAAACAATGAAGATAATGTTTACCTAAGGGATTATTGAGCCTGAAATATGATATTGATAGGGTTTCCTGTTATGGTTGCCTGGATGGATTGTTGTGCCTCACTGCTTTGAATATGTTTTTTATGTCACTACGATTTATCATATTTTAATGTGGTATTTGATCCTTTTTAGTATTTTGATACGTAATGTTTTAAGTTTCAAATATTGACTTTCAATGATGTAAGCTGCTTTGGGTCCTTCTTAAGAAGGAAGGTGGGGTAAAAATATTTTAGAGAAATAAAAATAAACAAATGATTTGGTCCCAAGTTTAGCCACACTTTGAGTGAAGCCACTGAAACCAGTGGACATTACTTTAGTCATGGTTATCTTAAGTATTATAGATCTCCGTGGATCTACTTGATGAATTACAATATCTGGGATCAACCCAGTATCTAATCCCCCTTGCTTAAATCCAATCAAACTTTCAATTGCAGTTGAATTCTGATGCAATGTTTTCTAGACTTTATCTGCAGAGAAAGCAGCAGTGTAAAGCAACGGTGCAATGTTACCACCTCCCTGGAAGCTTCAGCTTGAACAGTCATGTAGTTTTAGTGCTTATAATCATTCCAACAGCAAACATTTCTATGCATTTATTTATCTCCACATATGCTTTGAACCCATTCAGAACAAACTATGGAAGAGAGTAGTGATTGTTACATGTCCAAGTAATACAGTACAGTATTATACAGAAAGTCCCAGATCAGACCCTACTGGCCAACAATCTGTATAACAGGAACTAACTCTCAAATTATGTGCAAATATTGATAATCCTCTAGATTTTATTACTCAATGGCTCCATGAAGTTTATGGGAAACAAAAGTAATGTGACGGGAAGGGGTTTTATAATGAAGTAGAAATGTTATGGAGGCTTTCTGTAAACTATTAATTTTAAGGCCAAATTAATTCTTAATATGCCAACCCTTATGTTGTTTATTTCTTCACATTAAAGAGTAAGTAGCATTAGTCTTATATAACCTTTGCAAACATTTAAATATACTGTATGTCAGGGGTCTCAAACATGCGGCCCGGGGGCCATTTGTGGCCCACCAGATGACAGTTGTGGCCCCTGCCTTGCCTGCCCCCCCAAAGCCCCCCTCCATCCGGAACTGCAGCCAGCCTGCCAGCTGGCAGGCTACAGTTCTGGATGGAGGGTGCAAGAGGCGCTGTCTTGGGGGGAGAGCCAGCGAGCGAGGCATACTGCCAGCCCTTTTCCCCAAGCCGCCACTGAGCAATGCCTGAGAGTGGAGCTCGCTTCCAGCCCATCCTCGAAGAGTGCCTCCAACAGCGCCGCCAATAGCAGCTGCCGCCACCGCCGCCTCTTCCAGGGAAGCGGCTCTCTGGCTCTCTTTCTCTCTCGGCACCCCCAGCACCAGCCTGGACAGTGGCCACTTCAGCACCCAGCAGTGCTTCCTCCTCCTCCTCGTTGTGCTTCAGCCGCCTTGGCTCTGGAGGCTGCCTGGGCTCAGCTCGCAAAGTTTGCTCCCCTGGCGCTCACACACACAAACACAGACACACACACACACACACACACCTGTGGGGCCCCCGCCCTGTTCTGTTTAATTTCACAGGTACCAATGGGTTTTTTTTCCTTTGGCAAAGCGATTCTGTTAGGATTTTTAAAAAAAATTATGTCATCACCCCCTGGCTAGGTGGTCATTGGCGCTCCCTCCCTTCTCCATCCTGCTGCTGGTGATGGTGGTGGTGGTAGTGAAGAAGGAGCCGGAGGGGGTCATGGCTGGCAATGAGGGCTCGCGCACCCCTCCTCCTCCTCCTCCTTGGAGCCCCAGCCGGGGTAAGGAAAGTTTTGGGCGGCTTCCTTGGGCTCTTGCTCCGCTTGGCGGAAAATCTGATGCGGCCCAGCCTCACCCAGCCTCTGCCTCCAGCGGCCCCCAGGTAAATTGAGTTTGAGACCCCTGCTGTATGTTATTGTTCTGTGTTGTCAAGTTGGGATTGACTTATAGTAACCCATAACAGAGCTTTTAAAGTAAGTGAGATGTTTAAGGAGTGGTTTACACACATATACACCTCTCTCTCTCTCTCTCTGTGTGTGTGTGTGTGTGTGTGTGTGTGTGTGTGTGTGTGTGTGTAAAACCACTCTTTAAATATCTCACTTACTTTGAAAGCCCTGTTACAGGTTACTATGAAACCCTGAGGGCCCAAATGGACTTAGTGGCCATGGAAGGTGCCCCTTGGGAGGGGAGGTGGAGTAGAATACTATACTGAAACCCAGGACAGCTGACTAACTGGCAGGCACATTGAACAATATCCTGTAGCATTTTGTTGCAGGGGTTACTTGTTTCTCTTGTACAAATCAGAATGTAGGGGTTAGAAAATGCATGGCAGAAGTAAGCTGCTAATTAACATTTGGGCCATGACAGAATGTGAACGCATTCCAGCTCTATGTCCAATACTGACCTATCTGACTCACACACACCGCACCCATCTTCACAGCAGGTTGTTTCCATAGCACTCTTCCTGCAACCTGGTATTGACTGACAGCGGGGTCAGCTGTACCATTACGCAGGAGTGACCACAGGAAGCAGACTTTTGTTGTCACAAAAAGGCAGCGAACTATTGTTAGGTGTAAATTCTGCCCAGGAAGGAGAAGCATTTGTTGGATTTTCTGCCTCAAGGGCCAAAACAAATTGACAACCATCTGAACCTTGGGGGGAGGGGTCAGACAGTAACATTTAATGCTCTGCCTCAGGCAGAGAAGTATCTCAGGATGTTCCTGGCTGAGAGTTAAGATGTTTTCTTTGGAAAAATAATATCTGGCAAGTTATTAGTATTTCTTTCACCTTAGTAAGAGCCAAGGGATTGTGGTCCAGACTCATGAATGTGTTCTGTCTGTGAAGTGCACTCTATGCAATGAGGAAAAGTGTCAACAAGAAACGTTTCAGTTCCCCCATACACTTATTATGGTTTGAAGTCAAGAATATATTAATTCTCGAGTCTGCAGATGTGGCAGTGGAATGATCCGTCGTTGTACTTTGGCTAACAAAAGAACAGTTGCCCCTTGACTTCGATTCAGTTCAAAGAAATTAGCCTCCCATTAAATTTATGCCTTACAAAAATCAAAGTGAGCATGAAACCCACGTTTCTGTGCACCCTAAAGACCTCTTTCTCATGTCCATCACCTGTACACATATTAACACAGCATAAGGATAAGCAGGAGTTATACAAAACCGTCCAATAGATAAAAAGAGGGGGAGCAACGTTCAAATGCTTAAAAAAGAAAAAGGTCTGCATCGTTCAAATGCTTTTTAAAAAGCTCTGCATTTCTACAAGTGAATGGCTCTAAATGTTCTCTCACATGCAGAGATTCATTCTGGCAAATGCTTATCACACACAGTTCGGGGCGGGGGAAGCAGAAAGGGAATAAGCACGCTTTAAACCTTTTCGCGGCTATTCAGATCTTTACGCCCGTTCGAGTCCAGGGCAATTTTCTCCAAATCTGCGCATCCTACCCCTTGAAAGTCCCACAGCTTTGGGGGAATCTCAGTCGCTTTAATAGTCTTGCTGTTTTGCGCAGGGTGGAGGGGGTGCAATCCCCACTCATTTAGTAGCTTGCATTCAAGCCCCATCCATAAAAATTATAACCCCGTGAAAATAGCATGAAGCACCATATATGGCCTTTGTCATTGAACCTGATGGCACAGACAAAAAGATTGCACACAGAAAAGTCTTTTTGCAACCCCGTCCCCAGCGCGCTGCAGACGACACGTCGTGATATCTATTTTTCGTCTAAACCCCAAGTGCCGAGAAAGCACTGACTGAAAAGGAAAATGATACGAGAGAGAGAGTGCTAGGCTTGCAACAATTAAACAAGATAGGCGACAGCTCCCTGCGTCAGAGATGTGCTCGGAGGCCCGCCTTGCTGGCGAACGCCTTGTGCGGGAGGCGTCTCGCGCCGGATCCCACCCGCTCAGCCAATCAGCGGGCGGCGGGCGTGGGCTCGCGACGCGTCCTTCATCGCCGTCCCCGCCTCGTCCTTGCCCTATAAAAGGCCAGGTTTAGGCGGGCCAGTCTCCCAATAGCTTGCGAATAAAGTCTGAGGGCAGCGTTTCGTTTGGAAGGAGCATGCAGAGTGCAATGTTTCTGGCTCTCCAGCACAACTGCAGTCCCATGGAAAAAAACGCCAGCCACTGCCAGAACAAAGAGGAGAAAAAGGGAAAAATGAAGAAAACACTGTGAGTGTCTCCGCTTTTTAGTTTGGTGGTTTTTGTCTGTTTGCAAGGCATAGAAAAGTTTTCGAGCTCAGTGAGAAAGGCTTGATGGGCTTTTTTTTTCCCCTGGTGGGAATAGGCGGGCGTTACAGTATTGGGACCCTTACTCGGATCTTAGGAGTTAATGGGTTTTTGGCGAAGGGTGCTGTCAGGTTTGGGTCCTCCTTCGTGTTCTTACAAGGCTAGGAATTGGGCGCAGGACTTCGGAACGAAGCGTCCTGTGCGCCCCAGAGGCTTGAGTCGAGACAGGAAAAAAATAACGCCCAACATCTAATCGTTGAAGTGCAAAGGTTACAGGTGTGATTCAGAGCTGGGGAAGCTGTAATGCTTTTGGGTCAAGGGTAGTGTTTTAGGAACCACGGGCGGTGAGGAGGCGTTTGCTTTTTTCTTTCTTTTGTGAAAGCCCTAGAGTGCAGGATTATGCCATCTGATACTGAGATGTCGGAAATGCGTTTAGGATCCCTGCTCCCCAAAAGGTCGGTGAGCAGTGAGCTTAGGGTTGCAGGATGAGTTCCTCCTGCTGATATCGCAAGTGCTCAGCTATGCCCTGGTCATGTCTTACTTCCGGCAACCATTCAAAATCCTAGATCTGTCTCAGATCCAAATGGTTATTATGTAATTGGGTGCATCTAACGCAGCAGTCAGTTTCTTTGGGAGCAATTACTTTGGAAGTTTTTTCCAAAAAAGAAAACTCTTGCAGATTCTGATCTGCAAATATCCTAATTAACGACTGGAACTCTTTGGAGATAAATGTGATCCTTTGTTAGAATCTTCCTTTGTTCCAGTGCAATTTACTGTCCTGTAGACAATTCTTAAAGTGGATAGTTTTTTCCATTAGGGTGAAAGGTAGAAGTTCCACAAGTTCTGGTTTTCTTTTGCAGAGAAACCCTTTAAGAAACCAGTTACCTCTTTGAAATATTGCAGGAACTATGCATATGCCCCAAACCTGCAAATACGTGATGTGCATATACTTTATCACTTGTTGGCTTCTAGTTGCAGGACAGGACTGGTAAAGGTGACTTTGCTGTCTGTCTTCTGCAAAACTTTAGTTCAGCAGTTTCACAGTAATGTGATCAGCCTTCACCATGCAGCTATGTTGTAGGACTGATAAACAAGAGATCTCCAAGGACTACAAAATAATAATATGTAATGCAACCAGATACAGTGCATGTTTTTTAAGACGTAAGGTCACAGAATAGAGTGGGAATTTTTAATGAAGAAATGCCTATAAGATTTCATAAATTCTAGATATGTCCCACCATTTTACTGATAGGGACTTGGGTATTTCAGGCCAGTTCTTGAAAATTTAACATTATGTAGGAAAGAAGTATCCCACAAGCACGAATCATGTTGCATTAAGGTTTTCAGTCTGCCAACATACTGAGTCCCAAGTAATTTTGAAGCATAGATGTTACTGAGTAATAAATAGACAGGGAGCACCTTATATCAGTATGGATCTCTGGCAGCACAGGTTGACACATTCAGCTCTTGGTCATTTAGAAATTTGGGCAGCAAATGCAACTTCACTTCAGATTAACTGTAGGTTCAGATTTTTTGACACTTCTTTAAAGGAAAGTTCTGGTTGTTGAACTTAATGTGTTTCTTTTTTTTCCTTCTCATTTTAGCATAAAAGATTGGAAATCCAGGTTGAGTTACTTTCTGCAGAACTCTTCCAATTCTACCAATGCAAAGGCAAACAAGAAAGGACAGCAAAAGTCATGTTTTAGGTATGTATTTCATTGCTAACACCAGTGAATCACTGGATTCCACCACCATTTGGTTTGATTTATCATATAAGCCCCCAAAGCTCTCTTTGTGTGTGTTTTAATGTATATTTTCCCTGTCTCCTTTATGCAGGCCTTCTCCCGAGGAAGCTCAGCTGTGGTCAGAAGCTTTCGATGAACTTCTTTCTAGCAAATGTAAGTTGCTTTAACAAGCAAGATCCCTACATTTGAAACACAGGGGTGTCTTTGTCCTTTCCTGAATGTTGCAGATTGTTTGCACATCCGAATTCTGATCAATCCGTGTAGCTGGAGTTTTAGCTCAGGGTAACGACTTCTTGAGGTCCCCATTCATAGCAAGCATGCTCCTGTTTGAGCATAACTGGGAGGCCCTTCCCATGGCAAAAGCTGGCCTATGAAACAGATGCTTTTGTGCTTCAGTCCCTGTAGTTAGTCTGTATTTTTAGCTAGCCTTGCATTCCTTTGGCACGATGTAAGCTGCGGTGTACAGCTGCAGCAGTAGAGAAAGCTGTTTCTCCTTTACTCCTTGCATGTGTCAGAGCAGTGTGCAGGGAGGTATTCACAACTGTGCTTGTTTAAACAGTGTTGCAGATTGCATTCCTATAGGAAGGTAAAATAGCTGTGTCAAGCTGACCCTGGACTGAGCATCTAAAGTAATTTGACTGCATATAAAACATGCCTCTGCAAAATGTCCATTCCAAATCTAATTCAAAGTTATCAGCTCTTTCTGATGCTCTCTGCAAAGTTTCCCAAGCCTTTTCTGAGCTTGGAGTGGGCACAGTGCAAACCCCCAGATATTGTTGGACTGCAGCTCACATAATTCATCACCATTGTCTGTTCTGGCTAAGTCCAGTGCACTAAGAATTTATGCAGTAAAAAAACAAAACACTTGCTCAGTGAATGAAAAAAAGAGAGCTCATTAAATATATTGTGTTTGCAGCCAAGTGGACTTTGAGTCACCCTTTCCATTGCCGTTGTCTCCAAGACATTTATAGCTCTGCCGTAAATGTCTGCTGCAGGCTAACATGCAATTGCAAAGTGAAGCAAATGTATACGGATTTTCTCTCCCCCCCCCATTCCCTTTAATTTGAAGATTCTTGGCTGATTGAAAGTAATTGCAGATTTTTAACATTTAAATATGTGTAGACAGAATTTTGAGTCTTCTCACACCAGTTCTTTTCAAAAAAGGAAAAAAATGTTCTGGTACATAGTGTTTAAACAAGCCAGACAAGATACAGACAGAACAAGATCAGGGGCATGAGAATGGGAAAGAAGTATGTATATTGCTGTATACACAGCATTCCTGGGATGGTTTGAGCTAATCCTTCTCTTTCACCTTTTTTTTTGCAGATGGTCTGACAGCTTTCAGGGCTTTTCTGAAATCAGAATTTTGTGAAGAGAACATTGATTTCTGGCTGGCTTGTGAAGATTTTAAGAAAATAAAGTCGCCACAGAAGCTGACTGCCAAGGCAAAGAAGATTTACAATGACTTTATTGAAAAGGAGGCTCCTAAAGAGGTAAGCAGATCCCCACCTCCAAAAAAGTCTGTTAATTGCTGCACAATAGGAAGAATCTAGATTGTTAGTTTGAATATTGATTCCCATTAATTATAGGCTTTAGATGTTATGCCTAGGGACAGATCCACTCAGGAAAGGATACATTGGTACTGAGAACCCATCCTGAATGTTTAATCTGTGAACAGATGCTACCAACTGCTGCTGCTCGTGATCCAGGTTGTATTTGAAGACAGCCACATAGATCAGCAATTCTGATATATTGGGCTCTGTACACAATTCTGTATGCGGAGCTGCTAGGATCTAAAAACAAACAGCCCAGGATAAAAAAGGTAGTCCCTAAGCATCAAAGCTATCCAGTACATCTCCTTATTGTTTACTTGCACTTCACCATTTCTTGCAAAGTGAGTGGACAACCTTGTCTGCTCCAGATGTTCTGAAATGCAATTCAGAAGTCATAACCAAACTGTCTGGCAGTGAAAAGAACCATAGTTCGGAACATCTAGAAAGCCTAGCCCTGGCAAATTTATTAAGAGGGCAATCATTTACTGTTAGTCACAGTTGGAAAAATGCAGTCTCTATATTCAGACACAGGTTACCTTTTGATTATGAGGTGTTTGGAGTAAACAATGCAGGATTGTCTTTTATCATTTTGACACTCCTATGGATTTTCTTTCTTTCTTTTTTGGAAGAGAGTACTAAACTAAATTTTTTACCTTCTCTGAGATAGGCTATGTTCTTAAGAGCATGTGTGATGACAGATTGTTTCCTTTTTTTATTTCAGATCAACATAGACTTTCAAACCAAGAACACTATAGCCCAGAATCTAAATGATGCCACACACACGTGCTTCAATACAGCTCAGAAGCGAGTGTACAGCTTGATGGAGAATAATGCTTACCCACGGTTCCTGGAATCTGAATTCTACCAGGAGCTGTGTAAAAAATCGCCAGTGAGCAGAGAGCCTCAGGGAACATGAACTCCGAAGTGTACCAGGAAAAAGAAGCCAAAGAACCATCGTGTCTGGAGAGGAGGAAGGCTGTTGGTCGCTGCAGTCTTGGTGAACTTGATGAACTGAATGTACAGGAGACTTGCCCAAATGCACTTCCAGGTTTTCAAATGGATGGGCATATTGACTCTGGCAGTTTTCAGTTTCTATGATTAACTGCAGTGTAAAAGTCTTAGAAGGAAAACACAAGCAAAACTGCTGGCCAGTTGCTAAGACACATTCATTTTCATATGAAAACGATGTATTGGGAAGGAATGTCTGCCTACCATGGGTTATCCAACTACATATATCAACGTGGATCTGCTGCCACTCCAAGCCAGATCAGATTTAAGCCTCCTCTGCAAAGAGTAAACAAGCTCTGGACTTAACCTCATGCACATTGACCCCTTCTGGGATGTGAAAAATGTTCTTCTGAATAATTCACGGCCTTTGTTTTCCCTTGAACAATTGGCAGCCTATAATTGACATCATGGGTCTCTAGGACTTCCTTACACAAGTTCTGTTCTTTGCAGATTTTACTATTGGGCCCTGATGTAGGAAACCTCCACACAACCAGTAGACATAAAAATTCAGTGTCACTAAATTAGATGCAGAAAGATAAACGGGATGGAGTGACCTAAGAAAACAGAGCGTGCTGACTGTTTATTGGCTAGGATCAAGTTCTGGCTGTGTTGAGATGCAGTTGAAGCAGAACTTCAAATGAGAGCCATGTATATTGTGTGTGTATGTTTGTATAGACTCTGATTATGTTGGACACTCCTTTCCATGCTGAATGTACTGACTTGAGGACAAACTTCAGTGAAGTTGTCTTTTTGAAAAAAATTAATAAATTATTTTTATTTTAATAGAACATAGCTTATGTTCCTTTTACTTGGGGGGGGCAAGGTTAAAAGAAAAGAAGATGGAAGAGGGGCTGTTTGAAACCTGGGCAGCTTTGGGTGTTTTAGCTGTTTCTCACCACAGCTCACATCAGCCCTAACAAGAACAGCTGGTGGTGAGGGATGAGAGAACTTGCAGACCAGTTTCCAGAGAACTGCAAGTTGCCCACTCTTTTTAAATATTTTGGGATCTCCAATAATAGTCTTCTAGAAAAGGTAGCCAAGTTAATCTACTGTGGCAAAAATTATACTTGTGAGGGTAGCAAATTCAAAGTCACAAGAATTCTTTGGATGGAAGAGTCAAAGAGGCTCTTACTGGCGGGGAGTAAGGAGAGACAGTTAAGGTGTCTGTCTTTAAAATGCCCTGTGAGATTGTGCAGCCAGTTGGTCCCTTGCTCCAGTGGTTCCTTTGCTTACCCTATTGTCTTAATGGAGACAGGAAAGATAATGACTACTTAACACTGCTAATTTTCTTAGTGACTGGTTCCATTTAAGGGCAAAAAATTGCCTGCCTTAGGAACATTCGTTCTCATCCTGTATCAAGAAAAAGCTGCCTTCATAATACACTTTGTGAATCTGCATTCACATTTGAACTATAAGCTGACATTAAGAATACTCCGTACATTTTTGCACTGATGGCCATTCCTGTGCCTGCAATTAAATAATGAAATTGCGGAGGGCTTTTTTTATAGGAGGCGTGTGAATGACCAAAGAGGTCTTCATAGTGAGTGTGTTGTGATAATCTCCCACAAAGCCAAAACTAGCAGGCTTTATCCTTTCCAGTCTCTCTACGAAAACATCAGCATTTGATAGTCGCAACGTTCTTGCCAAGACAAATCTGATGTGATGCATGGTAATGGAAAGAAATGAAATGAGCCCATTTTTAGCACCTGCCATAAATCTTCAAAGGTAACCAGTATACTGTAGTTTTAAAACTGCTGGTCTCATAACTGCCATTCCTTTCGATATAAGAGGCCTGTCAACGTGAATGCAGTTGCCTAGCAACTATGTTTGGCAGGTTGTACCGAACAAGCAGGCCTGATAAGGGGTAGCACCTCTACTGAGTACTGCCACTTTGAAAAGCCATAAATCTATTTCTGCCTAGGAAAAACAAAGAAGCTAAATTTGTCGTCTCTCATGAACGCAGCATTTCTATCCAGTGGATGGAACAGAACAAAGAGTGGGAGTACTTCGAACTCGTGACCTAACTTGCACGTTATCAGGGGACACGAATGGAATAGTTGGTCACAGCCTGATCCCCTAGATGTGATCCAACAAGGGATTTTTTTAAAGGCTTTCCCCTATTCATGTTTCACTGCTACTACATTTTGATGATAGACTCCAACTGTAGACTAATAACTGAACAAATATACTTTTCTGCCTGAACTCCCAAGCCATAATATGCAGGCTCATAATATGCAAGGCTGGCTAATTTATGTTGGCACTAGAAACCCCATAATGTCTCTCTGACAGGAACATGCAATGGTAGTTAACTTAAAGATTTACTGTGGTTTCACGTCATCTCAAATCACCTACCTAGGGAAGGTGTCTCCTTGCCTAATAATAGGGTTAGCTTGTAGTGAGATGTTATGTCTTTTCGCTATATCTGGGTGTAAGTGACTTTTTGAAATTCTCCACCCCATTCATGGGATGAGAGCCCGGGGAGACCATTTCAGCACATTTCTCAAGAGGAAGGAGTAATTCTTGTTTAGCTCCTGAAAGGTGGGGCTAACAATCAGCAATGCTTGCATCACAGCTTTTGTCTTTTACCTTCAATACTTTCGTGCTTTCCAAGGTCATTGCAAGTGGTATACTGTAAGTGGCCACTATACGGACAGCCTGGCTGCTGTTTTTGTTTCTACAATATATTACTCTAAAAGCATCTTAGAGGCAATGGTAGGAGCAAACAATTGTGGAGAAATTTTGTGGGAAAGATCTTCACAGTGGTCTTCTGAGGCACTCAAGTATAACAACAAGAAAAATAACTGTGTCAGAAAATGTTCTGAGAAATTTTTGCTTAACATTCTTCAGGGTTCAGCATTTTTCACCACACCTCCTAAATGTCAGTGGTACAATGCAGATATATTTTCTTTCTACTCCAGAGGCTTATAATACACGGCAATGCCTATAGTATATATGAGGGGAAGGTAAAGATATGCCTGCCTCCTGGAGAAACCAGAACTAGTATTGTGCTGTAAATAGTCCTCTATGTTTTATTTCCCTATAAAAGAAGCAATCTCCCCCCACCCCGCTTCATTCGCAGAACCCTTTGGAATGCCTTTTCAGTATGGTTTACTTGCACATGCCAAGCGGCCAAAGGTGATGCACTTGGGGTTTTGCTTTGTTCCAAATCTCGTTAATTAACTGGCAGCTTCTCTAGCTGCCCACCCTTCATAATCTGAAATGCCTCCATTGGAAGAGTTATCCATTATATCTTTAAATGGAGCTCAGAGCAGTGGCGAGCTGCTACCTGCCACAGAGATGACTGTGGAGTGGCACTCAGGACTATAAGCACAGAAATTATGAACCCTCACCTGTGAGAATTTTTCTGATATTTATTTTTTAAATATTTTTAATGTATTCCCCTTTGTTAATATAAAATTGATAAATTCTCCCCATATATCTCCAAACTCATTCTTAATTAACATTCCTTTTCTTACTCTAATTTTGCATATTAATCTATCATGAATAGCTATATTCCACACTTCTTTACGCCATTCATTTTATTGAAGATCACACTTAACCTTCCAATTCCTTGCTCTTGTTAATTTAGCCACAGTTGCTAAATTTATAATCAATTCTTTCGTTATCAACTTCCACTTTTCCCTCTCAAACAAAAGTAAAAGTGCTATTTTAGACATATTCTTATATTCCACACTTCTTTATACCATTCATTTTGTTGAAGATCACACTTAACCTTCCAATTCCTTGCTCTTGTTAATTTAGCCACAGTTGCTAAATTTATAATCAATTCTTTCGTTATCAACTTCCACTTTTCCCTCTCAAACAAAAGTAAAAGTGCTATTTTAGACATATTCTTAGATTTAAATTTAATATTTCACTTATTTTTTTGAATACCAACATTTCTAAAATGTAATTATATATTCACATTCCCACCACATATGTAAGGGGGTTCCCACTTCTTGTTTCTGACATTTCTCTGTGTGAAATACTTTTTGAAAGGAATGAAATGATAAAGATCAGAATTTTCATGGGAATCCTTTAGAACAGAGGAGTAGTTTTAACTATTAAGAAGCTAGCAGGAATAGGTTTAAATGGTCCAGGTGGAGATCAAAATGACATCAAATGTCAAATATAATTTTCCCTTGTAGAAGTTAATCTTCCTTGCTTCTTTTTACCTCCTTTCCCCCTCCTCCATATTTTGCCTTCTTTCAAAATGCATTCCTGAAAGCAGAAAATGATGTTGGTGCCCTGGAGCAACCAGCCATTGTCCAGGAATGTTCTACCAAATGAAGACCAGTTTTCCAGACCCATCTTTATTTTATGCATTAGCCTTCCAATTTTTCAGATAAGGCCCCAACAGCAACTGCTCAGTTACATGGCATTGGTATTTTAATTGTTTGTTGCCAAGCTGCTCTTTCTCCTACTCTTCTAACCTCCTTGGCATCCTATTCACCCTGTTCCATCCCCCCTTCTCCTTCACTAAAAAGAAAACCTATTGAAGAAGGAGAAGTGGCAGGAATGCCACTGGTTTTTGGCCCAAGCCACTTGTTTTAAGGTCAGCCCTACAATGAAGGGGAGTGAAGCAATCACCTGTGACAGCAGACTTTGGATATCATGAGATGGCAGCAAACTCTGGTAAGAGGGCTGGGACTTTCTGCATCAAAATAAATTGGCTGATTTGGTTACTATGCACCTTCACTTGGGGAAGGGGGGGTCATGAGATTATCCTTTCCTGATGTATCTCAGGCAACACAATGTCTTGGTCTGGCCCTTTTTAAAGTCAAAGATTTAACAGTCCCTGTCCATTTTGTGGCTTACCCTTCTTGAATAGAGATGCCCAGAACTGAGTATGTTACTTGTGATAAACAGAATAAGTAGAATAATTTACGTGATGTATCTTGCAGACCAATTCTACTCACCTTACCTACACATACATAATCAGTGTTGATTCTAGTAGAGCTGAACTCAACTAAGCTTGAGACTACAACCTTGGAAAATATATTTTAATTAATTCAACCTACAATCATATTAGTCACCTATATGAATGGACCTCAGTTTTATCTAGCTTACCCATTTGGAGCTGCAACTTGACATTATAAACACCTGGCTTTATGAAAGACTATTCTACTATTGGCACGTTTCATTGATTTTTCATTCATTCAGTTTTGTTGTAGCCCTGTAAGCAGCCATAGACATTAATGGAGAATAACACATATGGACTGCAGTATCAAAACATTATGGGGACGTGGTGGCGCTGTGGGCTAAACCGCAGAAGCCTGTGCTGCAGGGTCAGAAGATCAAGCAGTCGTAAGATCGAATCCATGCGATGGAGTGAGTGCCCGTCGCTTGTCCCAGCTCCCGCCAACCTAGCGGTTTGAAAGCATGTAAATGCGAGTAGATAAATAGGTACCACCTTGGTGGGAAGGTAACAGCGTTCCGTGTCTAAGTCGCACTGGCCATGTGACCACAGAAGATTGTCTTCAGACAAAAATGCTGGCTCTATGGCTTGGAAACGGGGAGGAGCACCGCCCCCTAGAGTCGAACACGACTGAACAAAAATTGTCAAGGGGAACCTTTACCTTTACCTTTATCAAAACATTTGCTTTGCCCAGTTCCATCCAGAGCAAATTTAACGGAGGCAGGTTCACGATGGTAGCTGTTATTATGGGGAAGCATAACAGAAGTATTATTAATTCTGAATACACAATCCGTAAGAAATCTAAATAAAATTTGTACTAGAAGGTCATTCCAAATTTTTTA